ATTTGTCCTTGGAGTATTTTCACATTTTCATTTCCAATTTCATCTTCAAGGACAGGCCTCGTGAGGTCCCCTGGAGCCAAGGATGATTTGGCTGGAAAATTGCAGCTCAAGGATTTGTCCTTGGAGTGTTTTCACATTTTCATTTCCAATTTCATCTCCGAAGACAGGTGGAACGAAGACAAAATCCTTGGAATCGTGTCCCCCAGGAGTGTCTAACGAGCCCCCGTCCATCTCTGCATAAAACACAGCCAGATGCAGTAGCTTAAACCACCACCAGCACTTCCGAAAGTCACGGCCACGGCCACGGCCATGTATGTATACATCCACGGCCATGTATATATACATCCGTACAGCGAGCGGGCCTGGCAGCTCCGGTGGCCCAAATTCGTTCAAGTGGAACCGTTGCGGGGGGCGCGGGGCCGAATGGGCCAGGCAGCCCCGGTGGCCCAAATTGATTCAAGTGGAATCGTGGAGGCTCTGTTTTTCACTGCGGCCGATGAATGGGTGAAGTACTACCGTCTTCACCCGAATACAACGTACGGTCATTATAGTTGTATTTGGGGCAACTTCCAGTCTAGATGCAGCAATAATGACGGTACCTTACGTTGTATTGGGGTGAAGACGGTAGCAGTAGTAGTGGTTCAATCCAGTTCACTTTGCTAGTGGGACCTCGCCCCCGGATTCCTCATTTCTCATGTGGCCCGATTTGGTAAGTGGGGCTTTGTGCTGGGGGTTGCTAGGTGGCGAAGAAGTACGCCCTGGGCTTAGGTTGCTTGCTGGAAACTTCCCCTTCCTCCTTCCCTCTTCCCCCTTTCCCCTTGCCCCTCCTCCCCCCCACACCCAGACTCTCTCCTTGTACTACCCCAGAGTTAAACAACTACCGTCTTTCCCCGAACACAACGCAGCCTCAGGCTGATGATGAATGTATACAAGCAACGTTTCTGGTGAAGTACAGCCATAATGAGGGTAAGTTGTGTTCCAGGGAAGGCAGTGGTACCCGTCCCAGCTTTCAAGCTCCTACCGGCTGGTTCACATTGGCCCCAGAAAAGGCTCGGCCTGCGGGACCAAAATGTCTGATGGGCCCAGGTAGGCCGTGTCCTGTCAATGGTTTGGAATGTGAGGGAGACCAAAATTATGGCTGGTGGGCCCCGGAAGGCCTTGTCTCCCTCAAGGGTTTGAAATGTGAAGGGTGGGCAAAAAATGCGCATTGGAAAAAGGAGGCTTGGATGCACTGGTGGTTTAAACGACCAGTACTTGGCCCAGCTATTCGGCCGCGGAAAAAAGAAGAGTAGAAACGTTTCTAGTCGGATGAATTTGGGTGCTCCTGTAGTGGCAGGTACGTTTCCTAAAATCGTGGCGCCTTAACGTCCATGGCTCTAGGAAGTACTGGTGGTTTAAATACCTCTTCCTTTCCTCCCGGGCCTGGCTGCCTTCTTTTTCCCCGGCTGGGAACGTCACATTGATCAAGACCTTCTACCCACAAATACAAGACAGATCATGAACTTGAATGTATACAAGCCATCTTTCTGCTCGGATACAGTCGTATGATGAGGGTGTTGTCCTTGGAGGAGGAGGGTAGTACTTTGTGGTGGCTGTTACAGGCTGTAGATCAAATGGGCCCAATTTAATGGAGAACATCAAGACCTCCTGCCCACAAATACAAGACAGAGATCCGATTCGTGAACTTGAATGTATACAAGCCATCTTTCTGCTCGGATACAGTCGTGATGAGGGTGTTGCGCTCAGAGAAGGAGGGTAGTACTTTGCGGTGGCTGTTACAGGCTGTAGATCAAATGGGGCCAATTTAAGGGGCCAGGAGAATCTGGAGATTTGATAACCCTGTTGAAAGGTAGGGAAAATTACAAGATTGCCCTTGAAGATTTTGGCAATAGCTGATATACCCCTCAAAAGTGCATGCCCTTACAACACACAGCCTTTATTGTTTGGCAGCGACAGTACGAACTTGCCCAGCCCTTGATGCTCACTTCGGTTTTCACGTTCTCTTTTGTGAACTCTGTTCATCTGATTGCGACCAGATTCAAACTTGGGTCTGTATTTCAACAGTTTGTGGGTATACCAACTGAGCTAGGCTCCGTTTTTCACTTTTACCCAAGGCCCATGGACCAACTTGAGTCTCTGAAATGGGCATGGCCCCTGGTGAAAGAGGAAGGGTTCCCATGACAATGGTTCTATGGCCCCTGGTTTTGTCAGAGGGACACTGCAAAGAGGGACACTTTTTGAGGGGTGTATCTGGAATTTACCGAAAACTTTTGAGGACAATTTTCTAGTTCTCACATCGGCCCCTGGTGAAAGCGGAAGGGTTCCCATGACGATGGTTCTGCAGCCCCTGGTTTTGTCAGAGGGACAGTGCGATGAGGGACACTTTTTGAGGGGTGTATCTGGAATTTACCCAAAACTTTTGAGGACAATTTTGTAATTCTCGCAACAGAATTAGTCAAGGTAAGCCCTCACTTCACCCCTCCAAACCACCCACGCACTTTTTGAAATCTCTGTCGTATTAAATTAAACCACCGGTACTTGGCCCAACTACCGGTCGCGAAAAAAATAGCGTAGAAACGTTTCTCGTAGGATGAATGTGGGCGCTTTTGTAGTGACACGTACGTTTCCTAAAGTCGTGGCTTGTTCATGGGCACGACTTTAGGAAGTACTGGTGGCTCAAAGTGCAAGGTGAGTATCATGTAATGGTGCCCGCGAGACCCTGGGGACGGTACTTCTTTTTGTTTCCGTCGCTTCACACTGTATCGGTATCAAGGGAGCACTCCTGTTCACATACAAGCACAAGGCTGAGCAGCATTGTGTTTTTGTGCGATGTGTGTTTCACTATTATTATTTCAAAATTTGAACATCTTTTATTTACTGGGGCCCATTTCCCAAGCTGCACATAAATTTCTGCAACAAGCAGCAAGCAGAAGTCAACTGGCCTCAACCTGAAATTCACAGACTGAGGCTTCCTCCTCTAACCTTGGTACCAACCAAAATGTCGTCAAACAGAACTGCCCGGTAAACCGTAGGCAGAGAGGGAGAAGAAGACAACAAACGAGGGGCTGTGACAAACTGTTTCGTCGGAGTTTATATATATCCTAAAGGCTCCACTGGAACCAGCACCTAGTTAACCAATTTGATCGAAAGGTAAAGAATATCCTGTAACTCCAAAGCATACAGTTAAACCCTACAGTTAAAACTGCTCAAACACCTCCCAGTTAACCTACAATTAAAACTGCTCAAACAAGTCCCAGTTAAACCTACAGTTAAAACTGCTCAATTAACTCCCAGTTAAACCTACAGTTAAAACTGCTCAAACAACTCCCAGTTAAAACTGCAGTTAAAGCCGCTCAATTAACTCCCAATTATCCAAGTTTACTTGACAAGTGTAATTGGCGGTACCAATCTTGGCCCACCTTGGTCCTGGGCATGGACATAATTTCCACAGACCATTCCCTGGACATAGACAAAAGTTGGGCACTGGGGGGAGGGAGGGTTCCCACCGCTCTGCCCACACACATAATGACCCACTCACCCGACATTCGACCACCAACTTCCCACCCATGTAGATCGAGAGAAGGTTAACAACAGTCGTATTTTTCATCACCACTTCAGGATATCCTTCACCACTTCAGGATGCAGCTTGCCTAAACAGGTGGTTTTCAGGGTCTTCGGACCTTTCACCACTTTAGGACCATTCAGGTCTGAAAATCCTGAATGGTCGTGGTGAAAGCTCCGAAGACCCTGAAAACCACCTGTTTAGGCAGGCTGCATCCTCAGGTGGTGAAGGGTGGTTTTCATGGTATTCGGACCTTTCACCACTTCAGGACCGTTCAAGATTTTCAGACTGCCCAAAACTTTCACTTGACCACTTCAGGACACCCTTCACCACTTCAGGATGCAGCCTGCCAAAACAGGTGGTTTTCAGGGTCTTCGGACCTTTCACCACTTCAGAACCATTCAGGATTTTCAGACTGCCCAAAACTCTCACTTCAGAATTCTCATTCCTGAATTTTCAGCTAACCAATAACCTACCCCATACCACGTAGTACCCTCCGGTCCTCTTAGAGTCCCGCAGCCAGACCACCCAGTGGACATGATACCTCCCGAAATTCAGATTTGGAACTAGAGGTCAAGCGGTCAAGGTCGCAGGAAGGGGTCTGGGTAAAAATGTTTCAAGTGCGAAACCAGAGAAAAAGTCCGCTTGGACTCAATTACCAAACTGTAGAAGATGGAGGGAGGGGGGAGGGGCGGGGAAGGGGGGAGGGTTGGGAGGAGGGAGATGGTATTGGGTGCAAAAAAACACGCCGGATTGCTTTCTGTGCTTGGCTGAATTGTTGGACATCATTATCTGCATTGGAACTCTTTGGCACGGTAGCACCTCTCAGCTATGTGTGCTTAGTTCACTAACTTCACTCTGAGACTCACACATTGTCTATGATATGTCTGGGTTTCTGTGCATGATGATGGTTTTCTGGTGACTTGAAAGTTGAAAATTGAAACCCATAACTCTTATGATGATCTGCATCCTGCTTTGTGTTCTTCTTGTCCTTCTACCCTCCGTGGTCGAGTTCGAATCTTGCTGTGTTCGCTTGTGCCAACTTCGCCGCTTGCGAAGCTGCGGTGCTTCGGGGTTGTTTATCTCAAATCTAAAGTGGAAAAGTATTTTCACCCTGCCAAACCGCATTTTGTTTGCTTGCGTATTCCGCACTCACGATCACGTACTGCCATGGAGAGTTCAAGTTTTGCTTCCATCGCTTTCACTGAATTTTTTTGAGTACCGATGATACCGCCTCTTGTTTGGTAACCTGGTTGCAAGTTGCAACATTAGCTTCATATATTCAGTTGCTCGATAACGACGATAAGTACCTTATCGTGAAATTTTGGGTTACTGACTGCCAAATTGAATTTGTGTGCCAAATATTTAGAGAAAGAATTTCAAAGTTTTTCAAACAACGTATAAAAAAGACGTGAGAGAGATTTTTTAGCTTTATGAGTCACAGGAACATTCAAAAACACTTTTATTTTTACGGAATCTGGTTCAGTACAGTGTAGCAAGCACTCGTGGTTTCATCTGTGTTATCGTAGCGGGAATCACTAGTTCTGCACAGATATGTTCATCAAACATCAACTTGAAGTCGGACAGTGAAGGACACACTTAGCGCATACTCAACTCGCATCAATTCTTCAAACCAAAAGTTCGTCAAATTTTGGCGTGCGTAAGTGGTTAACGAGGACCCCTCCCCCCTTTTCCCTCCCCCTCGTCCTTCCCCCTCGTCCTTCCCCCTCGTCCTTCCCCCTCGTCCTTCCCCCTTGTCCCTCCCCGCTCTTCCCTCCCACCTCCCCCATCGTAGTTTGAAACCTGTCAGTATTGTAATGCTTACCTTTCAATTGGTTTTTCATTTTGTGAAATCATTTTGAATGTTTGAATGTTTGTTTGTTTGTTTGTTTGTTTGTTTGTTTGCTTGTCTTGTTTGTCTTGTTTTGTTTCAAGTCATCCGTTTGTTCATTTGTTGATTGGTTTGTCTCTCTGCCTGTTTGCATTTTCATTCTCAACCGTGCAGATGTTGACATCAGGTACACTGATGGGAGTCAGTGATGCCATGGCACAGAAAATCAGCGGAACGGACAGCATAAAGCTGTGGCGAACTGCTCTGATGGCTGTGAGAATTAATTCCCTAGTAACCCTACCCATGAGCAACCCATCCTTTTGGTTATCAGCAGGGGGGAGATCCCCCTTAGCAAGCACAGGGGGATCCCACTTGCATGGTGAGGTCCTGCTTGCGCCGGGGGAGCTCCCCTTTGCATGGGTTATAAGAGGTGCTGTCCATAGATGATGAATATTGACGGCTCATCGCTCTTAAGCCACCAGTCGGTGAGACGCTTCTGCGAAACTCTGAACGCATTTTATCTTGAATGAATTTAGCTGGGCCCAGGCAGGCCCACACGTCGACAAAAGTTCGGCCGGTGGACGGGGGCCACCTTGCTCGCAGACTCGTGCTTTAACGGGTGCTACCAGTGGTGGGATCTTGCCCCAGGTCTTTCTGCCTCTTGAACTTGGAGAGTTAGGGAGAACTCACACTTTTTGGGAATTGATGCCCGGAAGCACAGCATCCGGGTAAATGGGACCTCGCCCGGGGTGTGCAAAACAAGACTTTTCATTCTTGGTGGTGGTGGTGAGCGGTAGGTTGGTGGGAAGTAAGGGGAAGTACTGAACCAGCCCAGTTTTGTCCCGAAACTCCGAGGCTATCTCGCTCATAGAATCCGTGCTCATGGTGCATATGGGCGGGTGCATTATCTGTTTCTGGAAATCTGCATCTGCCAAGTACATTTGGACAGCGCTAATCTGCGGATTTCAGAACTGCAATGGGTCGGTTCAGTCCCTACCCCTTGTGTCCTTAGATGAAGAGTTTGGGGCTCCTTTTGGGTCAATTAGGGGTTAAAGATCATCTGTAACTTGTAAGGTGTTGGAGGGGGCAAGAATGACCAGAGAAAGGTACTATTTTCATTTCTATTTCTTATTATTCTTAGAACAGAACCATTCTCCAAAACCCCTTGACTTCCCTGTTCCTCAAATCCTTGCGCCCTCACAAAATCCTCGTAGACCCCCCCCAAAAACAGCGCCCTTGAACCTCCCCCCCTTGAACCCCTCTTCAACCCCGCCCGAACGAACCCCCTTGAACCCCCCACGGATCACCCGTGGCTCCACATCCCACCCCCATTCCAACCTCTCCTCTTTCCCTGGCCTTGAACCACCCTTGAGAAGTTTAGAGCCCCTTCCTCTCTTGTTCCTCTTCCATCGTGATTCTCATGTTGGCTGGGGCCGTCATGTACTGGTGGGTGGTTTTAACGTTTGAGTACTGTCTAGTAGGCAGGAGTATTTTTTCACATCAGGTCCTCATCTCGTCTATGCTCCGATCGGTGCCTTTTCGTTTATCCACAGGTTCAGTGCGGGCTTCTGTACACACCTGACATTTTTCCCATCGAGTCCGCAATTCACTTGAATCGGCTGCAGGCAGGCCCTTACAATGGAAGTGCGGCCTCGACATGCAACCCGGTGAACGCGCACAGCTATGTCCCCCACCCCAAACTTACTTGTGGCTTAAATCCTTGCTCACATGGAGTGCAGCAACTTCGACGTTCAGCTGAGCGAACGCACAGCTAGGTCTGCCCCAAATTGGTGGTTCAAAAAAAATCCCCGTTGCTCACACAGAGCTCATCGCATATGCATGGAGCGTGTTTTTTCTCTTGATCTTCCTTTATGGGACAAAGGCCTGTCATGCCAGAAAGAAACCAGCACTGTAAGGATTACCAACATTGTGAATGAAGTGTGTGGGACTGATGGCATCGTCAAGGAAGTACTTGGACTTGACTACGATACCATATCGCAAATAGTTCTGTGGGTGCCCAATTTAAAGCCTCTAAGAGTCTAAATACCCTTACAGGGCCTTTTTTTTTTTTTTTTTTTTTTTTTTTTTTTTTTTTTTTTTTTTTTTTTTTTTTTTTTTTTTTTTTTTAATGTGGTTCGATGGACCACAGATCAGATATTAAACTGACCACAACAGGTACTACTTTTGATCTTAGCCAAAAGGCCGAGGAAGGTATACAAATAGTAAAATACCCTTCCCAAATGGAACTACGGTGGCCAAAAGGCCGAGAAGGTAATTAAATACCCTTCCTAAATTGAGCTATGGAGACATCTTTCTCTAGTTTGCAGAGAGTGAGGTATTCAATAACGCGCACTCTCTAAGGCGCAAGCCAGTGCAAGGTAATTGGCAGCATACACCAGTCCCTTTTTCTTTCGTCTACGATATCCTGAAATCAATCGTGTTCATAAGTGTGCATGAGCACACACATACTCACCCAGATTCATTGCTTCTTTTGGACTCAAGCAAGCCTCCTCCACATCCTTTACTTGTCTTTCTTCTCCTGACCTCTCCTTCTTTTCCTCCCAATTGTCCGCCGCCTCCTTTCTCTCCTTCCCTCCTTTTCTCCTGCCTCCTCCCCCCCTTTCCTCCGTTTCTTTATCCTCTTTTCCTTTTCCTCTTTCTCATTTCTGCTCTTCCTGCCCTTCCTCCTCTTCCTCCTCTTCCTCCTCTTCCTCCTCCTCCTCCTGTACCCCCTCCCTCCCTCCCTCCCTCCCTCCCTCCCTCCGTCTCTCCCTGCCTCTTCCCTACGCTCCTCATCTTCTCCTCATTGCTTCTCATGTTTCCCTTCTCCCTCCTCCCTCCGCTGTCTGTGCCATCTTTTTTTTTTTTTCCCTGTCCATCCGCTGTTCTTCTCGTCCTCTCTGCCTCCTTGTCAACCTGAAACTGTGGGCTCTTGCATGTTGACCTTCCTGGAAGGCAGTCTGGTTCTGTTGTGGTTCTGACTCCCGAGGTCTGGTGTCATGGTTATACGAGTGAATCCAAAAGCTTCTCCGATAATTACAGGTCTTGCTTGCTTGCTTGCTTGCTTGCTTTCGTTCTTGCTTGCAGGTCTCCCATTCCTGGATTGCTTTCATTCTAGCAATGCACTTGCGCCTCTGCTGTTCACCACTCTGGGAGGAACGGGCAGTCCCTGCTGACTACTTGGCGCATCTTTTTGTTGTTGGGTGTGAAAATGAAGCTTTATGGATTGCTCTGGGTCGGCCCGACTGGTCATTACTGGCATGAAGTTTGCGAGTCCTTCTTCAGCAAACGAAGAGATAATGCCACGGTCATCAGGAAGGTGAGCTACGAATGACCTCAAACAACAGAACAAGAACAAAGAAAAAAGAAGCAGCCGAAGAAGAAGAAAAAGAACAAAGAAGAAAGAAGAAAGAAGAAAGGAGGAGGAGGAGGAGGAGAAGAAGGAGAAGAAGAAAGAAGAAGAAAGGAGGAGGAGGAGGAGGGGGAGGAGGAGGAGGAGGAGGAGGAGGAGGAGGAGAAAGAAGAAAGAAGAAAGAAGAAGGCAGAAGGCAGAAGGAAGAAGAAAGAAGAAAGAGGAAGAAAGAAGAAAGAAGAAAGAAGAAAGAAGAAAGAAGAAGAAAGAAGAAAAAAGGAGGAGGAGAAGAAGAAGAAGGAGAAGAGAACAGTGCCATACAAAAGAATGGATTTAGATTCGCCACGGAGATTCATTCAGACCTCACAGGTGGTGGAAGGAAGGAAGGTTTAATGGATTGTATCTCGTTTTTAACCAACAATGAGAACAAAAGGTAAATTTGAACAGAACGGATAGGCGGACGATTCTTCAGCTGATCCGTCTGCGTGAAGGGGTGTGAGCAGTAAGCAACTACTTGTTGTTATAGTTGTTGTCGAGTCCGCCAAATCTGTAGACAGTGGCAGAGCCGCATGCCTTAAGTAGTTTTTTTTTTCACAATTAACGGCAATCAGACGATAGGTGGATGATTCTTCAGACATTTTGTCTATTGTTATGCTTATGATGTGATATGATTTTCTTTTCTTTGTTAGGATTATGGCATGATATGGTCTCCTTCTGTGGTGGATCGTCCCTATGAAAGAGCAATAAATTGATTAAAATTCAATAAATGCATTCAAATTTCAAACGACTTGCAAACTGTAGGGTTCCCTTTCGTGGTTAGTAACTTAGTACTGGTTACGTTAAGTTCTTGTCAGCAAAATGAGAATGGTAATGACCCCAGAAGAGACGCCTCGGCCTTTCAACGGGCTTAAATTATTGTCAGCAAAATGAGAGTGACAATGAGTACTGGTTACCTTAAGTTCTTGTCAGCAAAATGAGAATGGTCATGACCCCAGAAGAGACGCCTGCCTCCCTGAGTCAGAGGAGCCAGGAATAAGGCTATCATCATGGTCATAGAAAAATGATGAAAAAAAAAAAAAAAGGATATTATTTTTTCAAAATCTCTTATAAAATCAGAAGGGTTAGAATGTAGAACTTAGACGTAACGAGGGAGGGCACCAAAGAAAAGCGCCTGGATGTCGCTCTTCTTTTGTTTGGTTTCTTAACTTTCTTTGCGTCGCATGTGATCGATTAACTCTGACGGTTTTTTCTTTTTATTACGCGGATCCAGAAAGGGATTCAAATTTCAAAAATATACATATGCTGCTTTTGGCAGTCTTGTGGTCGAAATTCGATGAAACGGTGAAATTTCTGGTCAGTTTTTTGACTCAGATATGATTTTTTTTGGTGAACACGAGTTGAGTACCAAATACCAAGTATAAAATAATATTAAAATTATGAATGCTGGTTTACCCGAGCCGCTTCGGTCTAGAGTAGAATCATAGAGATAGACGTCAACCTTGGAAAAAATGGTGGATTTTGAATTTTGAATTTTCAAATACGTTGGCAGATTAAAAAAAAAAAAAAAAAGAGGATGGCAGATTTTGCTATTTGTTTTTCAAATTTTCAGCCTTTTTTTTTTTTTTTCTGTTGGTGAACACTTATGCTGGCCATCCATCTCATTTATCCTTGGCCTCAGTAACAAGCAGCTGTGATGTTCGTCGGCAAAGCTTTCTGTCATCTTCTGACCCCGCTCCATTTCTGTCATGTTTGCTCCGATTTGTCGATTTGTCGATTTGTGAGTGGTGGCAGGTTGCAGTAGAGCAATTGACATATGGACCTGTGCAAAACGTCAGTATGATGATATATCTTGGTCTGATCATAAAAGGTGCCCTCGACTCCCCTTTTTTTCTTCGGATCCTTGCATTCCTCACTCTCACCCATTTCCTCCCCTCCCCCGTCCCCACCCCCCTGGGTTCTCCTCCCTCCCCCGCTACAATTCAATGTCCCATCTTTCTTAATTTGACTCATCTTTGTAACTCTCTCTCCACCTCCTCCTCTCCTCCTCTCCTCCTCTCCTCCTCTCCTTCACCCCGCAACCCCGCAACCCCCAACCCCCAACCCCCAACCCCGAACCCCGAACCCCCAACCCCCAACACCCAACCCCTTCCCCTCCCCACACACACAATTTGACTGTCCCTTCTTAAGGGCAATTGCAGAAATTGTCTGAATCAGTGAAATGCGCGTTTTTCAACCTTCGCCGTAACCTTCACAACAAGCTTTCATGGCAGAAACACCTTCGCGACACTACCCCGTTCCCCCACTGTCTTTGCTGTGAATGTTTATTTTGCCTGGGAAATGTTGAAAAGCGGGTATGTTTGCTATCTACACCCCTCTCCTCATTGTGTTTAGCTCGATTTTGCCGTGGCTTTCCTTGTATCGGTTTTCTTTCCTATTTCACCATCTCCTCTCTTATCTCACTCTGTTCTTCCATCATGTTGTGTCTCATCTTCATGTCACTTCCTCTTGATCAGCATACATCATTCGCTTATGCATGGTGTCCAGGACCGATTTGCATGTTATTCATTTTGTTCACTGTCTCCCCAAAGTCGTGACGAAAAAGTGTTTGTCTGAGTGCAAAGATGAAAGCATGACTCTATGACACAGGTATGAAAGCCACGAGTGTGGAAGATTGTCATCCGAGTCGCATGGAGAGTAGAGCTCTGTTATCATCCCATGGAGAGCAGAGATTTGTCCTTATTGTCGTTAACAGAGATCTATGATGAGACTCATGAGAGTAGACATGTATTGTCGTCAGACTTGTCACACCCAGAGATGTGTTGTTGTCACATGGAGAGTCGAGATGTCCTCTCTTGGAGCGATGCTACAGCTGCTGCTTGTTTTGGGATGGGAGGGCAAACGTGCGGTAGCCCCATCTTTCCCCACCTTCTCAGACTCCAAATCCCAACCATGGCTGCAGCCAGTGTTCGCCCCAGCTACCAATTGAAACTGGTAGAGCTGCTATCAAGTGTGACACATCAGCAATCAGAGGCCTGCACTGAGCTGGGGCCTGCCAAGGACAGGCCCCATGAAGGCTACGGTTTTCAAACGTTTCTCTTTTGCACTAAGTCTTTCCACGCATATGTGGCCGGGATGTTCATCGCGGTTGAGTCTCCCGGATGTAGGATATGTCCCCCTTCTTCCCTTTCGCTCACTGCACCATCCACCTTGTGGTATGCAGTGAGTCTCATTTTGAGCGCTTTCAAACTCCCCGGCATCGGTTACATCTACTACGTCCACAGCCTGCACGATCCACTAGTACATTCCTTGTCCTGTCCTGTGTCGGTGGATTTGGCCCAACCTGCATTTTTTTTGGAGACCGCAACTTAGCTGTGTGCTATTTTTAGCTTTAGTACATCCACATTACCGTGGCCCAGTCCATGCCCACTGTATTTCAGAACTGGACTTGGGTCGCTTTTTCAAGAATGGCGTTAGCCCCGGTGTCACCCACTCTGCGTTAGTGCACCCATTACCCACTATCCCCGTCCCGTCCATATTCTCATTTTTATTTTTATTTTCCCCGTTTTTTAGTTTGCCTGCTCTTCTTCATTGCCAATGCTATTTTCCCCATCCCTTCGATACATATCAGAGCAAGTATT